AATATATCACATGCCAACCAAATGGAAAGCTTCTTAAAAAGCTAACTGCCACAGCACTCTAATGCTGTAACATTTGGATGACTTACTGCTTATATGTTCTTTTAAAAAAGAATAATTAGACAATTAATCTTAAAGTATATTCAGAACATGATAAAAATGAAGGAAAAAAAATCCCTAATTTTTCCCCTCTTAGGTAGGAGAAAGCAGCCACCAGTCAGGGAATCTCTACAGCCCCTTCATGAAGGCCTGCAGAACCCTCTTTCTTGGCAGCAATCAGTCCGATCAGGGGCAAAGCTTTAGAGGCCACGTAGGAGGCGTGGTCTTGTGGGGCTATGCCCGCTCCCATGCGGACTTGCTCAAACGGCCACTCCAAATTGACATGAGTGAGCCGGTGCTGGCGATGTGGGCTGACTTTACTAATGTAAGTGGTCATTTCAGATTTCTACACTGTTAGTTGTTGATTTGTGTTCTTCCAATAGTCTTAATCTTAGCTAAAATACAACTGTAGTTTTATTAAGTAATTTTATATTTATTTAGTATTGCTTTTCTGCCTTTTAGGTGGAACAGCTATGGACTCCATACAAAGACCATCATCCAACCATCATCACCAGTCCTGTCCCCGAGCCAGAACTCGTCTCCTCCTTCTTGCCACCACCCTGTGGCCTTACACCCTGTGACAATATAGATATCATCTCTGGATACAACGACAACTGGCAGCTCCGAACACCCAAGCGAATTCGCTACCGGATTGTCAACCTCTCCAACGATGATGGTGGAAACCCCACCGTGACCGAAGCCCAAATTCAGCTCCAGCACCAGGCTCTGACTCAGGCCTTCCGCCCTTACAACATTACTCTGGATCTGAGTGCCTACACAGTGAAAAACTCTAGCCTCCGGGAGAGATTCATCCTCAGCAACTGCCGCATTGCAAAGATCGGGAACCGCCAGTGTGACCCAGAATGTGACCATCCGAGGACGGGTCACGATGGAGGGGACTGTCTCAGGGTGGGGCCCTGTAACAACTGGAAGAGGCAGGATGGGGTTTGTAACATGGAGTGCAACAGTATACACTACGACTATGATGATGGAGACTGCTGTGACCCAGATGTTACAGATGTGCTCAAGACCTGTTTTGATCCTGACTCTCCTGACAGGTAAGCTTGTTGAACAAATGTTATCTACTAAAATGGCTCTCTATGTAGAAAACGTACTTGTGGGAGTGAGACGTGTTGTATAAAGCTCTGTGAGTCCTCACATAGAGTAGAAAAGTACTATGAGAACAAGTCCATACTGTACTGTATTGTTAACTTTAAAGGCCTTCCTTTAAGGCCCCCCCAAAAAAACTAACAGAAGATTTTTAATCTGAAATATTTTGAACCAGGTGTTGTGTCGTTTTTACGAGAACAATGGCCGTTCAGTTTTACACTGTGCATATCGTTAAGCAGGAATATGTAAAAGGCTACATTGTTGAGGAGCCATAGCATAGAAAGTAGGAGGATTACATTTTAAGCCAGTAAAGGCAAGATATTATTCCAGAGAGAAGATTTCTATGGGCATGAATGGGCACTAGTAAGAGTACCTCTCCCTGTGAGGCAGTGAAGTGTCCTTATTTCGCATGCTGCAGTCAGTAGCTCATAATATGGCATGAACAAATTGGGACTCTCACTTTCCCCAGTGGTCTTAGAGGGAGCTCTGTGAAGTAGAAATGGTGGGTTAAGTGGCCAAAGTACACACTTGTTTCTGCTAAACAACACGAGCGGCAGCCCACTGCCTTCCATTTGGTCTGACAGTCAGGCTCACGCTGCGTTCTAAATAGCTCGCATGAAGCCTCCCCATGAGGTCGTCGGCCGAAGTTCTTAAAGGACTTAAAATCCAAATTTCAACCACAAGCTTCACACTGAGCCACTGGGAAACAGAACATGGGAACCAAAACTGCTTTTTAAACCATGAGACTTAGCTTTTGATGTCTGGAGCTGACAGAGTGTGACAGCTTAACACAAGGATGAATAAATGTTTTTTCAAACATTTTTTCCCCATGATATATTTCCATTTCTTTATTTTTTTGTAGTGTAATGGACCTTTCTTTACCACTGTGGAAGTTAAGTAACTAAGTAGAGTTCCCTCTAAAAGCCTCTGTTGGTGTAATCGTTATATTCTGCTCTCAGTGTAAAGCAGTTTTAAATATAAATGGGATATTTATGTAGTATGACAACATTCATGTGGATTACATTCAGTAGATCAGCAAAAAACACTGAAGTAATGGTCAATAAAAAGCTTAGCATTGTATTGCTATTTCTATGGTTTTTCAGGGAGTGTCTTGCTGTAGCCACAAACTGTGGTGCTACCCACTGCTGCTAGTTAGCATTCATAACCATCTCGCAGACATGTGCATCTACTTTCAATGCCATTGATATTTATTTAGACTTTTTCTCTCCAACTGATTTTTCAGCGGAAAACTTCTTCCAAACCATCAACGTGTCTATTAGACCCATTCCTTGTTTTGAGCTTATTAAAGGCCAATCTTCAACCTTCCTGTTATCTCAAAAACCCTTGAAACAGTAGTGGTAAAGGAGCTAATTGATCATCTGCAGAGGAATGGATTGTTTGAGGGTGTCACTCAATTTTCAGAATTCGTCACAGCACAGAAACAGCATTAGTGAAGGTTACAAGTGATATTGCTTCTGTGTCCTGCTAGACTCCACTGCAGTGTTTGATACTGTTGATCATAATATTTTATCTCAGAGTTAGAGCATGCCAGGCATTAAAGTAGAGTGCTGCAGTCATTTTAATCATATCTATCTAATAAATAGGGAGTCTTGTACATGATTCACTAGCATACATTTTCATTACCATGCAGAAAACACCCAGCTTTCTGTATACACACACACACTGAGCCGGGATAAGATATAAGAGGTTTCTTCCTTTTAAAAGGGAGTTTTTTCTTCCCACTGTTGCCAAGTTGTTGGTGTTTAGCTTACAATATAAAGTTCCTTGAGGCAACTGCTGTTGTGTTTTGGCACTAATCACACTACCTGTCAAAAGTTTGGACACACCTTCTCATTTAATGGACTTGTCTTTATTTTAATACTTTCGACGTTGTTGATCCATACTGAATACATCAAATATATGAACCGAGATAAATGGAATTATGTAGCAAAGACAAATTTGATAAATAATTCTAAGTATGTCTTATATTTTAGATTCTTGCCACCCTTTGCTTTGTTGACAGCTCTGCAAACCCTCGGCCTTCTCTCAGTGAGCTTAATGATGTAGGTGAGCCTGTCAGGCTTCATTTGTGGAGTTTCTTGCCTTCTTAATGGGGTTGGGACCATCAGTTGTGTTGTGCAGAAGTCAGGCTGGTACACAGCTGACAGCCTTTTTTGTCAACTGTTAGAATTCATTTTATGGCAAGAACCAATCAGCTAAGTAAAGAGTAATGGAAGTCCATCATTACGTTAAGAACTGAAGGTCAGTCAGTCCAGAAAATTGTTAAAACCTTGAATGTGTCCACAAGTGCAGACGCAAAAACCATCAAGTGCTACAATGAAACGGCTCACATGAGGACGCCCCAGGAAAGGAAGACCAAGAGTCACCTCTGCTGCTGAGGATAAATTCATCCAAGTCATCAGCCTCAGAAATAGCAAGTTAACATCACTTAGGATTGACACACAGAGTTCTAGTAGCAGACACATCTCTACATCAACTGTTGAGAAGAGACTGCGCGAATCAGGCCTTTATGGTCAAATAGCTGCTAAGAAACCACGACTAAGGAAAAACAACAAGCAGAAGAGATTTGTTTGGGCCAAGAAACACAAGGAATGGACAATTAGACCAGTGGATCTTTGGTTCCACCTCATCCCAACACCATCGAGATGGTTTGGGATGAGGTGGACCGCAGAGTAAAGGCAAAAACACAAACAAGTGCTCAGCATCTCTGGGAACTTCCTCAAGACAAGAAAACCATTTCAGGTGACGACCTCATAAGGCTCATCGAGAGAAGACCAAGAGTGTGCAAAGCAGTATTTTTTACTACATAATTACATATGTGTTCATTCATAGTTTTGATGCCTTCAGTGAAAATCTACAATGTAAAATAGTCATGAAAATAAAGTTGTGTCCAAACTTTTGACTGGTATAAAATTGAATTGAAGTGAATTGAAGTGAACTCCCATTTTAGCCCCAGGGGCATTGGTCATGTGTTATTCCTGGAATCTTTAATTTCTGGCTTTTTGTTCTTTGTCCTGAAGAAGTGTCAGTAAACTAACTGGCAACGAAATCTGGGGTATAGACACCAGGGAAGTCTGAACTTTCCTTAATTTAAAAACAGTGCCTGTGAGCAAGGTGATTAACCTTCAGCATTTTCAGCGGCAAATAGAAGAAGATATGTTTAACTGGACAGCTCCCAGTGCCTATTTGCATCTGTACGAATGTGCAACATCCTGTCTCTGGAAAAGGACATGAGGTTAAAGGTTAAAGTTCAGTAGAAGTAAAAAAGAAAAAAGCTGGGTTGCGTG